GTGCGCGTGGCCGCCCTGCGCCGTGGCCTCCCGTGCGCCGTGGCCTCCCGTGTTGCCCTGGCCTCCCGTGCGCCGTGGCCTCCCGTGTTGCCCTGGCCTCCCATGCGCTGTGGCCTCCCGTGCGCGTGGCCTCCCGTGCGCCGTGGCCTCCTGTGCGCGTGGCCGCCCTGCGCCGTGGCCGCCCATGTCACCGTGGCCACTCGTGTTGCCCTGGCCTCCCGTGCGCCGTGGCCACTCGTGTTGCCCTGGCCTCCCGTGCGCCGTGGCCGCCCGTGTCACCGTGGCCTCCCGTGTTGCCCTGGCCTCCTGTGCGCATGGCCGCGGCGGCCCCCAGGCACCACTCAACCCCAGCCTCTCCCAGCGCAGCGGGCAGTGGCCCCGGAACCGCGGCCAGGCCTGGTGCCGGCTTTGAGCCCAGAACCTGGGTTCCCGGTGCCAGGCCCGATGTTAACAAGACCCCACGCGGAGCTCAGCACTGTGCTGACCCGGGTGAGCTAGAGGCAAGCGCCAGCTGATGGCGGGAAGGCAGAAGGCCAGTCAGGCCTGAGCCCCAGCCTGCATCCAGAGCCCCGTTCATTCTTCCTGCTCACCGCACACCTCTCCCTGGTAGGAGCTCAGAAAGCTGGGTTTCCAGTTTGTGCCCACAATACCGTTGAAACCTTGTCTAATGTGTATTAATGACTTTTATTCTTTTTGTCGGCCTCGGGACTAGGCAGTGTTCCACTTTGAGCCACAGCTCCACTTCGGATTTTCTGGTGGTTATGTGTAGAGAAGAGTTTCAAGGACTTCCTGCCCAGGCTAGCTTTGAGCCCTGATCCTCAGATCTCAGCCTTCTGAGGAGGTAGGATTATAGGTGTGAGTCACCAGTGCCTGGTTTAGAACTGACTTTAAAGGTATGTTTTTGGTTTTGATGGGGTTTTTTGGGTCTGCATTGGGGCTTGAACATTGGGCTTGGGCATGCTCCCTGGGCTCTTCAGCTCAAGGCAAGTGTTCTACCACTTGAACCACAGTGCTATTCTGATTTTTCTGGTTGTTAATTGGCCATTAAGAGTCTCAAGGAAAGCCGGGCACTGGTGGCTCACGCCTGTAATCCTAGCTACTCAGGAGGCTGAGATCTGAGGATCGCGGTTCAAAGCCAGCCCGGGCAGGAAAGACTGTGAGACTCCTATCTCCAATAAACCACCAGAAAACCGGAAGTGGCGCTGTAGCTCAAGTGGTAGAGCTCGCCTTGAGCTGAAGAGCTGAAGGACAGCGCCCAGGCCCAGAGTTCAAGCCCCACGACTGACAAAAAAAAAAAAAAAAGAGTCTCAAGGATTTTGCTGCCCAGGCCGGCTTTGAACTGTGATCCTCAGATCTCAGCCTTCGGAGTAACTAGGATTATTGGTGTGAGCCACAGGTGGCTGGTTTCAAGACCTTTCAAAATCTACTTGACCTGAGGCCTACACAGAGTGCTCTACACAGAGGCGGGATTGGGCCCTGTGCAGAATTCAATCCATTGGTCCTTTCCTTGGAACTGTAAGCCAAAGGAGAGGCCAGTGTGCACAGTCTCCCCCAGTGACCCCAAGAGGAAGAGAGCATTGTTCTCATAATAAATATCCTCACCTTTTTTTGTCAGTGTGGAATGTTGGGAGGGGTCAGTGTGTCACCCCAGGTACACCAAAGTTACAAGCTTTCCCTGTGTAAATCTGGATGTTTACAGTGGGATATGTGAGCGTCCGTCTGAGTGACAGTGTGTCGGGTGGCATCCACGTTCGGAGATCACAGTGTGATGTGATATGTGCTCATATCTGCACATCCTGTGCTATGTAAGATTGATCCTCACCTGTATCTTAGTATCCAGGTGATTAGACCTTAGGGTACATATCTGTATCTTAGCATAGGTTCATCTAGGATATGACACTTCATGTAAATATTAAATATGTCTCACCAGGTGAAGGACCAATTGCTTTCTGTGTATCTAGATGTCACGGTATTGTGTAATACTGCAGAGTTGTGTATATCATGCATGTGTTGTACAGTAGTACTTGTCTGTAATTACATCTGTGTATGTGAGGTTGTTATTATATATCCATGGGAATCATTTTGTTTGTGTGTCTCCCTAAACACACAGATGTGTTTATCTTTGTTGAGGCATATTGTTGTATGTCTGAATGTTATACCATTTTGTTTTTCTGTGTGTCTATGTGTCTATGGTTTATACCTCTGTGTTCCTATTTATATGTCTGGTTGCTGTGTGTATATGTGGCAGGTGGGTGCTCTGGTCTGTGTGCTATGTCAGGGCAACCTCTGTGTGAGAATGAATAGTGAGCTCTAACAGATGACCATATCGACTTCCTGAACTTGTGACTGGGCTTTTATTTGGGGGGAAAAAAGTCTTTGCCAATTTGATTGAACGATAGGTCAACCTGGACTACGCAAGTAGGCCCTAACTCTTAACTTTCCCTGTGAGAACAAACAGGGAGATTTGAGGCAGAAGAGTGACGACACACAGTGTGTCCTTGAGCCAGCCCCAGTCAGGAGGAGCTGGGAAAAGCAAGGAAGCAGAGGGAGTACAGCCTTGCTGATTTCTTATCTATAGAACTATATATTTTTTTCTTTTTCTCCTCCCCCCTCCTTTTTTTTTTTCTTTTTTGTATTGGAGATCATACCATGATCACAAGATCAGGACCTTGTGCATGCTTTACCAGTGAGCTACACTTTCAGTCTCTGTTGTAGGAAGCTACTATTCACAGTTCTTTATTACAGCAGCCCCACAAACATGTGTCTGGGTTGTCTGTCAGTAGCTTCTAGTGGGGGGGGGTGTTGTGTGCTAATCCCCGGGTACCATTCACAAGCCCTTGCCTCAGGCTTCTTGTCCTCTAACTGGGGACCCAGAGTTAACAGGAAGCACTTCCAGGACTTGTGATCTCCACTGCAGGTGCTATGCTAGATACTTGAGGGTTTTTTTTTGTTCTTGTTATTTGTTGACATTCGTGGGGCCTGAACTCTGGGCCTGGGTGCTGTCCCTCAGCTCTTCGGCTCAAGGCTAGCACTCTACCACTTGAGCAGCAGCACCACTTCTGGTTTTTTCTGCTTATGTGGTGCTGAGGAATTTAACCCAGGGCCTCATGCACATGAGGCAAGCACTCTATCACTGAGCCATCTTCCCACCCATATGCTAGATACTTGAACCCTGCTTCCTAGTGATCTCCCACTGCAGGTGCTATGCTAGATATTCCTTCCTCCCAGACCCAGCACTTTGGGCACTTACTTGACAACCAGGTTTATTTCTGTTTGTTTGTTTGTTTTTTTTTTGTCAGAGTATAAAAAAGTGAGGGAAAAACAAGGAAGACAAAACAGGAACACTGGATAGACGAGTTAGAGGAGGGAAAGGGGCAGAGATGGGCCCTCTGACTGAAGGTGGGTAGCACAGTTTGGACAGGGATACTGGAAGCAGCCAGATATGCGAGGGGTCCCTGGTGGGTGGGGTACATACAGTATGAAAGGCATCAGGCCAGTGGTCCAAATTCTACTTGGTACCTGCAATGGTCTACTTCAAGTCCCAAGGGCAGCTCTTGGCACACAGACTGGAGGCTTAGCCTCACCTGTCCCTGAGATTTTCAATTCCCTGGGGGAATGGGAAAGGGCAGAAGAATGAGAAGGTGGCTGCAAAGACCACACTTATTATTCGTCTGCCAGGCAGCACCAGCCCCCAAACACCCAGGAAGGGGCTGCTCAGGTGCCTGGTGGCAGATGTGAGGGGAAGACCCTCAGGAGAGCCTCTCCTGTAAATGCACATTTTCTGGAGAAAACAACAAGAGGAGACCCACATCAGGACTGCTTCTTGAAGGTGGTCTCCAAGAGCCAGGGATTTGGGATGATGCCTAAAAGCGAGACTCTCCAGAAGGTAAGGCCAGAAGTGCTGCTGATCTCGGTGAGCTGAACAGGGCTGGAGACCTTTCAGTACCACATTTTGTCTTTGGGACATGGGCACCCTGGGCCTCTCTCTGCCTCTGATTTCAGGAGTAGGTGGCAAAGATTTCATAATGACTGAAGGCCTTGCCGCGGCGTCTGGCTGGGTTGGTGCCTACTCAAGGTCGTTACTCTAAACCATGGTTTGGGCCTGCTGGGGGGGTGGGGCAGGAACACAAGCCAAAGGGAGCCAAAGCAGATTGTCCCACTGTCAGCTGACTGGTGGCACCCGGGAGGGCACAGACTGGAGGAGTCAAGAGAATGATGGGTGAGCCAGGTAACTGCAGATGGTCACAAGGTAAAGGGAATGTAAATAAACAGACTCCCTGGGAGCCGGGACCATCCAAACCCCATTTTGGCTCCAGGAAGCTGCCCTGCCTGCTGCAAGCAGCACTAGGGAGTGGGCCTGGGCTTGGGTCCCAGGAGGAGGGGCTCCACACAAGTAGCCCCTCCCCTTCCCCAGGGCACAGCCTGGAGTGCCAACCAGAGGCATCTGAAGGTTGTGGTTCTGGTCCTGCCTGTTCATTGGGAGGGGTTTAGCCATTGGGGCATCCTGCCAGCGTCCAAGTGGGGCCAGCTCTGTCTCATCCTTGGCTGTGGGCTCCGGTCACAGTGTTGGGGTCTGGGGTCCAGGCCCGGGCAACAGCTACAGCATGTTTCCGAAGGAAGCTGTAGGAGGGACAGGTGTGAGAAAACCGGTCTACCACATCTCACTCCTTGCCAGGGCTTCCAGTCACCCTCTTCCCGTGACACCACTCACCCTGCACTTTGGGCTCAGTCCCCCTCAGTCTGGCACTTCCGATCCTCCCACTGACCTTGGCTGAGCAGTTGTAGGCTCCGCCCCTCCTCCCGCACCTGCAGGCGGAGCACCTGCTGCAGCACCTCCTGTCTCTGGGCCTCCTGCGCCAGTCCCATCCGCTGCAGCTTCTCTGCATTCAGCCGGAGCAGTGCTCGGCCTGGGGAAAGAGGGGAGAGGAAGGAGGGCTCCAGCAAGGCCAACAGGTACATCAAGGCAGACAGTGCCTCAGAATAAATTGAAAAAATAAGCCGGGCGCCAGTGGCTCAGACCTGTCATCCTAGCTGCCCCAGGAGGCAGTTCAAAGCCAGCCTGGGCAGGAAAGTCTGTGAGACTCTTATCTCCAATTAATCACTAGAAAACCGGAAGTGGCACTGTGGCTTATGTGGTAGAGCACTTGTCTTGAGCTGAAGAGCTGAGGGACAGCGCCCAGGCCCAGAGTTCAAGCCCCACAACCGACCCCCCCCAAAAAAAATGGAAAAAATAAAAGCAAGCCAATGCAGGAACAAGAAAGAAAGGGGAGGTACCCGATGAAGACAGAACAGTGTGATTGGAAGGGACAGACACAAACAGTAAAGACCCAGCAGGGAGTCTGGCTCAGAGAACACGGGAGCCTGAGGGAGGTGTTCTCTCTGGACGCTGCTGGGCCTCGCTGCCCATGGCCCCAGCATACCAGTGATGGCGTGCTGGGAGAAGGCCTCAACGTAGACGAGGTAGTTGTGGGGACAGTGCTTCTTGAGCCACTTGCAGACGTCCTGCTGGCTCCACAAGACCACAGGCCGGGTCAAGCCACCCAGTGAGGGACTTGTGTGGTACAGGCCATAGTGCTCAGAATACAGACGGCCCTGCAAGGAAGGACGGAGGGCATGTGGAGTGGGGGCGACAGCAGAAAGGAGGGGGCTCAGGCTGGGGGGACAGGCGGCACCTGGGAGGCCTCCGTGCCAGGCTGCTGAAGAAGCTTGACTGGTCTGCGGCTGGAAGCCCTCTGGCTCCGGGAGTCGCACCACGTGAGGCTTGGGCCCGGTGCCCGAGGCAGGTGGCAAGGGATGCTCTCGGCTGACACAGTGTGCTCCAAGAGGGTCCGGCAGAAACTGAAGTGGGCAGTGGCTGTGTGCAGGGTTGCCCAGTCAGAGCGGTTATGGCCGGAGCCAGAGATTCATCCCCCGGAGAACCAGGCCCAGAGGCTCATCGCCCCCCCCCCAACCAGGCCCAGAGGCTCATCACCTCCCCACCGAGAGCCAGGGCCAGAGCCCCACCCCTTATCAGGGCCAGAGGCTCATCACCCCCG